GACATACCGACCGACCGACTACGATGGCTTGGAAAGAATTAAACTCCACTTGTGTTTCACCTTGTTTGTTTGCTTCGTTGGAGAGGAATTTGACATTCTTACTGGTGATGATTGGTGGCAGTAATTCGTTGCGTCACCATTTTGACGATGAAATCGTCTCAGAGGCCGCAATGAGGTGGAGTGAGTATAGCACCCACGCCCTACTTTGATGCAGCCTATTTACACATATGGGCAGCATGAGATGTCACTCTTCCTTTCCTCCTACCCGTCCCTACACCAATCAGGTGCATTCAGCTAATCGGCCGTTTTAAACATCGCCACAGTGTCACCATGGTCGCACCTCAGTTTGGCAGAATTCACACGTCAGCTCAGCGCGACACAGAACACTAGCTCTGGACTTCAACAAAATATAAACTGCATTTGCCTCCAAGCTGGTCAAGCGAACATCCACCTTGTTCGTCATTCGTGCGATGGGTAGCCTTAGATTAGCCGTCGAAGGACAGTTTGGATGGGTGTCTGCAGATTGACATTTGTTAACAGTGGACATGACACCAGCTTCATAGTTATAAGCAGAGATCCACAATCTGGCGTTTCACAGGTCTCCGTGGTGCTGTCTACCAACCTAGGTGTCTGGATTATCCAGATACATTGTCATTTCCTCCTTGCATACCTACCTACTTGCAATCCTTCCAGCCGTGCCAATAAGTTCCGCCACGAATTCCCCATCATTACAAATGGCTTACGTACCTGCCTACTGACCGACGACTTTTGACCCTGAGGCCATCCAATGATTGTGGTTTCCTAGTTCTCTCTGGTAGTACCCGTCGAAATCGATCCCTTGTAAAGGCATTAAGAGATGTTCCACCTCATTTCATTCTTTTCTTCGTTAATTAGCTAGGAGCAAATTATTTATGACAGTGGCACAAGAAGTGAGTATAGTAAATTGAGAAGCAGAGCAATTACGAAGGCTTGCACATAAGTTGAATGCGTAAGGTTAAAAGTTAGTAGATCTAAGATCGTTAAAGGATTTTTTTCTTTTAAGTAAAAAGCCACTGAAGATGATATGCCGGAACAAATTACTGCTGTTTCCTAGGTAATTAATCAAATTTGGATCTTGGGTGTTGAGATTCTAGCGGGCGATTCCTATCAGCATCAGAAACAGGGAAACGGGAAGGGTGAGTAGTGAGGGTATCACGTAATCACTGGTATGGCACCTTCGGAGCTCTCTAGATGAGAAGTGGGGATGAGGCATGCGTAGAGGGCGATAGTGCCATTCGGTGGTGCGCAGAGTGGAATGGCTCGACAGTGTGACTGATGCAATGAGGGTGTGAGCAGACGCGAACAAGAGCGATGAGGTGATGGTACGCCTCTGCACATATTCGTTCCTTTCGTGGTGTACTTCATCAATCTTTCCTGTCGGTCCTGCATCCCTCTCCCCGCTCCATCTGCAATACAATGCTTTTTTTGAGCAACTGCTCATCCTTCCGTGGCAATACGTTTTGACTAACGTTGAACTATTTCTCAGCAAAATAACTCTTTATTCAATTGTGGATGATTGAAGGAACATCTGCTGCCTTGTGAATGTGGCACTCTGACATACCGACCAATTGACTACGATAGCTTGGAAAGAATTTAACTCCACTCGTGTTTCACCTTGTTTGTCGCGTTTGGCGTGGAGGACGGTGTTCTGTCACCACAGCGTGTGATTCCGTGGAACTGTCAGTCAGGAATGTGAATGCTTGTGCCACATGCTTGGCTCTCTGATGCCCCTCTGAAATCGTGCTACCGATGAGTATCCAAAAGACGTTGCCGAAGAATTGAATGACGGTTTGCAGCTCATAAATGTGCATTCATTACTGTGACTAACACCTTACATGCCAGCGTCACAATTACGTGACGCGAGCGCTTCAACAATTTGGAGTAAGTAATCACATCAAATCTTGTCTCAAAGAAACCGAGTGTATTGGAAAGATTCAAGTGGATAATAATTGCGATTGGCCAATTTCTATTATCACATCATAGCCGTCCCTTTAGGCTGTGTGTGACGTGAAATAATGATCCTCTTCTTTTCGTGCTCCTCAATATTCGGCACCGCAGGTGTTCGTTGTTCCTTGACAAACACACAGCCGTTCACATTAAACTAAGAGGGAGGATCCCGATTCACACCCGATCCGATTCTTATCCCTCCTTCCCTACTGATGCGTTTGTACCTGCAAGGCTCCAGGTATGGTGGGAGATGAAGGGACTGGGCTCACACCCTCGCGCCTTTTGAACACTCTTGCGTGTCACAAGATCTGGTCACTCGTCCGCGTTTGCCACCACAACACAGTCGGTGTATTGAAAACCACCCACCAACTGGGTTTCATTTCGACATATGAGATGTGTCTCGTCGATTTCGTTGCATGTAAAGCCTTGTACCCCCAGAGTTACCCACTGCCTCTACGGCGAAGTAGTGGTTCACTTCCTACCCACAAGCAATTTCATCGAATGCGCTCAGTTGACGCATCAGTGCCCAGTGCATCAACTACCGTCATGACCTAGGATGAAAAAACCGCTTTTCTGCAGTCACACACACTTATAATATACCGGGTTTCCTCTTACACATGGAGGCGCACTCCTCATCCGCATTGACGACTCGTCCTCTCCGCCTACCACGTCACAAACACAGGAATTACCGCACCGCACCGCATCACATCACACCACACTTTGCAGAATTCCAACAGTTTCAGCGAAGATTCATTAGCGAACACTAATTACCAAAATGTGCTTCGCCATCGCCACGGCCTCGACAACACACGCATCCTTTGCAAACTCGCAGAGAATACAACCAGTACACCACATTGCACACTTGGCTCCGTTTTTCCACGTCGAATTCGACGTTCCTCTCCACACATCCAGCAGCTGCGCCAACAACCTCCGACCCGATTAACATCCCCCTACCTGTAAAACGCTATGAGATATAGAGGAACGATTTCAGTCATGGTGCAATCCTGCGACAATCTTGCCAAACAAATTAGTATATTGTCCTGGAACGCATGTCGCCGTATCGTTTGTAGGAAAATGACTACCATCTCGGCTTGCGTTTGTTCAAATCACGATTGCGAACGTTGCAGAAGATGTGGTTCACTTCATTGACAGAGAAGGGAACATTCAAATACGCTACGCTTGCGGAGGGTGCTGCAGCTGTATTTGGAACATTCTATAACCATGGACAGTGTATCAATTAGAATAATACAGATTTTACCATGTAATCTGGAAAAGATATTGGGAAGATTGGAAATAACGATGCCTCTCCTACAACACACAAACCAAGACCATTAGGGCTCACAAAACAAAACACCAATACAGAAAATGAAGTCAATTCTTACCCGCTCAAGGTACGGAATTACAGCAAGGCCCAATTTTGAGCATATTCTTCTTCAAATAGTTCTCGAATCACACCAAATTCAGCAGCACAAACAAACATATTCGAGTCCACACCAGGTTTTAAACGACTCTGAACATGGAGCATAGTCAGGTTTAACAAATATTCTCATTGTATTTCAAATTGTCCCTGTCTAGCTGAAATTGCGGCGCTACTATATTCACCGAATAACTCAATGGCGACAGACGATCTACACAAGAAAAACTAAAGGAGTCAAGGTTGACAGTATAAAGAAACAAAAAAACCTTTAATTTTTCAGTAAAGATTTGGGAGTAAAAAAGGCTAAGCCTAACTTAGGTGTCGAAATAAATATAACTAAAAGGTATTAACAGAAAAAGGTAAAAAAGAAATAGTTTGCATATATAAATATAGAGGAAAGAAAATAAAACACTGAAAAGGAAAACGGACAACATAACAAAAATGAAAGAATAAAGAGTTTGTTTGCACTAACACGTGTGCAAGGAACTTTGTAAGAGGGATGGAGGCTAACATCGCATATTTGCATGTAAGTAGGACATGGAATGAACCCGCTATCATTCCATGACGTCATCGCAAATGTGGCAGTGGTTCAACACACCTACCACTCGTTGGCATTTGAGAGTGAGACAAATGTTAGGTGTGGTGATCTCGAGCAGTGGTCCTCAAAACGTACATTTTTTTTTACTCAATGCAATTTGATGGCAGATGTTCTCATGAAATTAACGCATTATTACTTCCTATTAGTTAACAAATTGGCAGTGTCGACTGTTTGTTTCAATGTGGTATGCAAAGATGTCTGAAGCCCAATAAAGTGGCAGTGATACATGGTGTTGCAATGAGACTAACACCAGGTAGATGCCCTCACACACCCTTAATGCATTCAAATCTCTAATTAGTGGAAAGAGTGGAAGAGCGGGAGCATTTCAATTCTAATGATGTAGTGGTGATGCACGATGCCTCAGGAGTGCTAACACCATGGTGTCGGGTTTTTCTCAACAGCCCTCATCGCCCAACTGGCGCATAAGAGCCCACACACAGGAGTTGCACACCTCTAATTTCATTACTCTCTCCATTCACATCGACATTTGGCTGTCGCCATTCTCTCACCTTGTGGGCAGCAACCGCACCCTTCTGTCGGTTAGGTGACACTAATTGAATTACACATTCTCTGTGAGCGCACTCACATCTCGTGTGTATCACTTCAACGTGGATTGCGTTTAACACCACCATCAGGTTGGAGGCAACGCCCCAGCTGGTGCAGGGGTAGATGAGGCAAATAAACAATTCAGTGTCTGTCCACACTACTACGCATTGCATACATTTAGCCACAACTGGCTCTGTCCACCTGCTGGATCAGTTTCCTGTGCCTGCATAAGTTGTGCCTCGCCTGCTTCGTATAGCAGTCTGCCTTAACCAGCATTTATCGGTGTCCTCACCTCGGAAGTTGTAGAAAGCACAGTATGTTAATACCTACACTCGGCTCCTTAGAAAAACCCGTCAGCTCAGCATGACGATGCCTTACTCTGTCAAATTTCTCTGACCAGTCTCTTTCACTTGGGCTACTCAACCCGCCATTGGAGACAATAAACTTGTTATCGTAGTATTAGAAGCAATATATTGCCAGTCAGCACACTCATTCTTCAAGGGGATGACGACCTGTAGCACACCAGTCACCTTCGTGGCACGGTGCATCCATCATTTTGAGCACTAACGACACGTATGGCAGACTTAGGCTGCCCTCACAACTGGTGCAGACATGGACTGCGAGCACATTAACCACCTCTGTGGATGCGCGCATCCACCACATCGACTACGAGCGACCCACGCGTTGGCAGACGTTTGTCTAGACTAATATGCACTGCATACATTTATCCACAACTGGGTGTGTCCACCGCTGTTTCCACAAGTAGCAATGTTGAGTTTATTTGTTACTGTGCTATGCTTATAACTGCTTGGCATAATTTTTATTTCCCCCAACCCCACCCCACCCACTCGCATAAAACTCGTATGTCAAGTGGATACTTTTCAGACTGGAGGCAAGTAGGCCCAAATGAGAAATGGAAGGAATCAATCTTCCAGTTGCAAGCACATTAGCTTCCGTCCAGCCGTTCACTTGTGACTAAGATCCTTGCGTGTTCCAAATCGTCCACGTGAAACAGTGGCTTACGTGTAAAATTGGCCAGTAAGTTGTCGTCCTACAAAGTGCATAAAATTTTTGTAATACTTTAATCTTCTTCATTTCTGCCTAGAAGCACAACATTCACCCCCTCGGTGGGCGAAAATTCATACGCATCGCACCCACGCCAACCGGATGCTGCAAGAGAAATTGAATAGATTTAAGTTGGCACACTGAATGCTTTGCTCCTCGAAAGTGTTGGAACAAAAACCCACATAACATTATCAATCTGTTGTCGAATGTGACAAGCGATGTAAAAGGCGTGCACTGCTTATCAACTCCATGAAGGCGAGTCCACTGAGGAGCTGTGGGTGGTTCAAGTGACGTCAGGGGAGGACATTCAATGGTGATCTTCTTTCCCAAATGATCGCCTCCAGCAACCACCACGCATCCCTTGAAGTAGGCGACTCCTGGACGAAAGCGTCCCTCTAGCATTGGGTTGAGCTTAATCCATCGCCATTCGCTCTCATCCGAAGGATCTTCTACCAACATTTCAGCGGAACGATTTTCTCCAATATAGCCACCAACAACGACGATTCCGATGTGTGGGATATTTAAGGCCGAAGCATTACGACGAGGTGATGGCACATCTGGGAGTCGAGTGAACCTAAACTGGGTGACCAAGCTTCATCAAACATACTCGCCGGTGGTGGTGTCCAATTTTTCGCAAGTAGAAACATCGTCCCCTTCTGAGACGCCACCAAAAATGAAGATTAATTCATTTCTCGCCGCGGCAGAATAGAACCACCGTTTCTGCCCTTTGAAAGGGAATGCGGAAACGCGGCCATTTCGGTAATTCACGGACCAAAAAGTACTTCCGGCATTCAAATAATTGGAGGCATAATAATTGCCTAGAAGGTAGGGGAATAAAACCACATCTTTAATTTACCATTCAGCACAGTCGATGCATCATGGTCTGGAACTTCAACATTAAACGATTCGTCCGGTTGCAACTGTGGCACAGACTTCAAAATCCACGATTCCGAAGTTGCATCCCTTCCGGTAATCATAAGCACCTCCCTAGGCATTTGCAAAGAATCAGTACAGTGCGGGCGTACAGAGTGCCATTGAGGTTGTTATGACAATGGTAATTCTGCGGTGTCACATCATGCAAATGCAAGAACTTATCGAATCGGTTACTTGGATTTGGAAAGAGTAGTCACGCTGTTAGCAGAAACGGTTTACGTACCTGCAACTTGGTGGGGGGTTGGAGGATGGGTGAGGTATCTGCTCGATTGCTCTGCCGACTGACTTCTTTCCAGGACGTGGTGAAGTGTCTCCTGCGAGACCGTAAGAAAGAGGCGTAAGTGGTGCCTCGCGAAGGAGTGGTGAATGCAGCGTCATCGTTCAACTCAAGTTCCATCTCTGATCCCCAAATTAAGAAATCCACCCTCCTACTTCTAATCAGCATTCATGCATCCAAGCACTCCGTCTTCACTCATCCATCTCGCATTCACCCATTCATTCATTCCTCCATCCATCCATCCATCCCTCAATCCAACCATCTCATTCCCATCTATTCATCGCATAGGCGCCATTCATTCGTCCTCCAATTTGTGTGCCTTCATGCATCAAATAGTCATCCAACCAAATTCTTCACCCCTTGCACTCACCTCCTTCAAGACATTCACGCCTTCACCGTGCTTACCTGCAGCAAAAGATTCGGAATACTCCCTCACAAATTTCCAATACTCAGTTTGACTCGGTGGAGGCAGCTTAGACAAGTCAATCTTGGAAATCAACTTGCCAAATGCCTTTGCCCTTTCCTCCACATCACACCCCTTGCGCCCTGCATAGAGCCATTTGGAAATCGCCTTTAACCTGGTTTCCTCACTCATCCCTCCTTGCCTTTGCCTATCCAGCAGGACCTCAAAGTACTCCGCTGTTGTCTGCATCAGCATCTCACCTCGCAAACAGAGATTTTCAAAATGCCTCGTAATCAGTGGAAGACACACGTCCACCAATTCACGATTCACTGTCGCATTGGCAACTGACCACACCTCGGCCACGTTGTCTAGGGAGGTCCTTCACACAGCCAGTTGTCACTCTCAAAAAGTTAGCTTCGCCTACCTCGTTCGTAGGAAATCCACACACCATTCGACGATGGTGGCGGAGTGGAGGTTGTGTGCCAGCAGGTAGACTCGCGCTACATTTGCTGCCGAAATCGCGATGCTGCCCGTGTATGCGTAATTGATGGCAGCCTCGACAATACTGAAAAGGGGTTAGCAATGAAGAAAAATGCGCAAGTACTCTTTCGGAAATCGCCTCCACTGCACTGCGACTTCACCGCATTGAAAGGTTAATTGTAACATCAAAAATGGGAAGGTGGCTGCAACCACCAGTCGGTGTGCTTCCACGTAGTGCCCATCACTTGTCTAGAAGTCGAAGTGTAAATTCCGTGTCCGTCAACTCACTGTGATGCGAAGATCAATTAGTTTGTGCTGTTCCCGTAATAGGCAGAACTTCTGGCTCCGAGATGAGCCTGCAGTCTCATCAGAATAGCTTTTCGTTTCCATTACTTGTTGAAGATTTGTGGCGTAAAGTGAGGGTGTGATGGAGTGCCTTTTATGCTGAGCACAAGACGCGTGGGAGTGGATGAAGAACGCCCACGAAGGTGTCGTGGCTTGCGTTGTGGTGCCAATGAGCGGCCTTGAGGGGGGCGAGAGGCGGGGTGTGGTGCGTGGATTTTGTGTTTTGCTTGTAGCTAAATACAATGCTTAGGTTGTCGTTTCAACTGCTCGTCTTGGTTGCACAGGCATTTAGAGCTGCGCATTTGCATTGCCTTCGAGTAATGCCACTTCACCGCATCCCGTTTGTGACTGGGCGCTCCTCTTTTGGCAGCCCAACACCAGCCCAATCCGTGTTGTCATCGGCATCCAAGTTAGATGCTTCGTGATGGGCGCTTAGGTGATGAAGGGAGAGCACCAGCTGTACGAATGTAGGAATTCGTAATGACCCTCAGTAGAATGGTTGGAAATGAGCCTCGGCTAATGCTCCTGCTCACTGTTGTGCAGGAATGCCTGTAACAACAACTACGGTGGCATTACGTGTGGCTGTAGCTCACCCAGAAATGCTTGCTGCTGAGCTGAATACGCTGCGTGTGTGAAGGAGGCCGTTAGTTGAAACGCTGATACACACACATGAAATCGGTGGATGAAGGCTTAAGGGTGATTGTGCCAAATCATTTTTCTGACAATTCGATTCATTAAATCGCCCCTGCTAATTCTCTCTTGACTTCCTTTCCTCATTCACTTACCTTACGATTATTCCACAGACTTTAACGCCACTTCTCTGTAGTTGGTTGCTTCAAGCTCGGTCTCCACGACTCACTTCAAAGTTTTCTCATTTGGCCTTTAGCCTGTCATCCACCGACCTGGCAGAGAATGCACCAGACATTCCTGTTTCTCATGAGCTAAGCAATTTCACATTCTCTATGAGCGCTTTTCCGACATCCATAAACATGGCTCTGAGCGCTGGAGTGCTCTCTGTTCTGTCTCAAAGTTAATTGTGGTACTCATTTGGAGGTTTTTGCCACCCTACTTATAAAACTTCGCAACGTCAATAACTGGCGTTCAGTTTATCACAAGGAAGGAAAAGTGGTAACGATTTTAGAATTTTACCTTCTTAGGTTAAGAAATTGACAAGTAAGGAATTAATCAGGACAAAAAT